TTTATAAAATTTCCCCAAATCCCTTTTTGGAAAACTAAAATCCGCGCCCAGGTACTCACTCGTGAGGCGCGCCAGGTTGTTGTTGCCCAGGCCGAAGCCCTCCACGACGGAGCTCTTCCTGCGCACATCCGTGCTGGAGCGGCGCTTGTTGTTGGCCGGGGCCGGGGGCGCGGCCGTGAGCGTCGGGCCGCTGCTGGCCGTGGGGGTGGGCGCCGCGCTCACCGGCTCCTGCCCCATGTCCTGGCCGAACTCGGCGCCGATCACCCCGAGCAGCACCACGGCCGTCGTCTGCTTCCGCTTCAGCTCGGCCGCGCTGGACGGCTTGCGCACGCACAGCTCTGCAAACAGAAACGGAGTCAGACGGAGAAGAGCACAACGGTACACAAACGGTGGTGCTCGATGCTCGTACCCTCGGCGCCCTCCTCCTCCTCCTCGGCGTAGTCGGGCGTGTCCGGGTGCTGCGGCGGGCTGCTGTGGCCCTGGCTGCCGGGGCTGTCAGCGCCGCCGGCCCCGGGGCCACCCTGGTGCGCGCCGCCCGCCTGCTGCTCGGCCGCGGCGTACATGGGCAGGAAGGGCGCCCAGCTGTCGACCAGCGCCTTGCGGCCCTTGGGGCCCAGGCGCTCCAGCTCGGCCAACAGCAGCGCCTGCGCGGCCTGCCGCACCTCCAGGCAGTGGTGCTGCCAGCGGCGCGCCATCATCTCCACCTGCGGCCGCTTGAAGGCGCGGCTGCCGGCCGTCGTCACCTTGTCGGGCAGCTGCACGCAGTGCAGCGTGGCGAGCCGCGACCAGCCCTGCTTGATGTGCGCCTGCTGCGCCGTGAACTGCTCCTCCGTCTCCTCCTCAGCACGGCTCCACGTCGTCATGGCCGTGCGCGTGCTCTGACGGTGCAGGATGCGACTGCGCTCCTGCTCCGTCACGAACGTGGCGTTGTTCATCGACATGAGCGTGTAGGCCAGCGAGATGGTGGCCAGCAGGTGGTTGGTGGTGAGCGTGGTGGAGAGCTCCCAGTGCGTGCGCGCCGTGAAGAGCCTCGTGAGCCGCTCCAGCTGCACCATCTCGCGCGGCAGCTCCGACTCGATGGACTTGCGCGCCGGCCCCGGCGGCGGAGCCACCATCTGCGCCTGCGACGGCGCCGGCCCGGGCGGCGGCTGGTGCTGGTGGCCCGAAAGCGACGCCTGCGAGGGCGGCGGCGGCCGCGGGGGAGGCGTCGGCGAGGCCGACACGACGGCGGCGACGGGGTCCGCGGTGCCGTCCGGGATCTTGGGCTTCCACGTGGGCAGCAGCAGGCTCATGTAGCCTCCCTTAGAGATGACGCCGAACGACACCGGCACCATGGGACGGAGCAAGCCCAGCTTGGTCTCGCACACGCGGTCCAGCTCCGGCTCCATGCCCCACGCGTGCAGCAGGGACAGCAGCAGCTGGGCGATCTCCATCGTGATGTTGGTCTCCAGGAAGGCCACGTTGCGGGGCTTGTTGATCGCCTCCTCTGACGCATCTGCAACATCGACCGCAAGGAGAGGGTCAGCACATTTTGAACAACACGAGCTCAAGGAGGAATTGTAAAGGGGAGCTGTGTACAGCCGAGCGCCTGACCATCACCGGGTAGGCAGGCCGCCGCACGCCCGTGCCCGG